AAGTTTAATAATAAAATAATTTATTTTTGGTTTAATAATATAACATTTTATAAAGATAATAATTAAGTATTCTGTTAGAACTCAATGATTATTCTATATTTAGATTTTTTATATTTAAAATAAGATGTTTATCATGTATTTGATTATGTTTATCTGCAGTTAGTTACTGGGGTTTTTTCCCTGAACCTTCCTCTTTCTCTCTCTCTGTGTGTGTATATTCAGGTATCTTGTACCATACCTCTTGTAATAATTGGGGTCCGAATTCAGATATAAAGTTTTAATAAGTTGTACTTATGCACAATCTACATATAATCTTGAGTTTTAAATAACATGTATTAATAAACAGTACTTTATGCATAAAAAATGGTTTTTAAGAGTTTTTACCAAATAAATTATAATATAGTATAGATTATATAAGGTTATAAAGTGTTCTATAATTTAGCATAAGATCAAAAACAATTAGTTTATAGATTAAGTAATATTTTAATCATTAAATTATACATGTTTAATTATTAAATTATAAATAATCATACTAAAATACATACAAGAGTCAATTGCATTCTTGTTTTCGTGATTTATTGGTTGTCATTAATACAGTCCCTTAAATATGTTTATTATACTCCTGATACTTGTGGTATGCAAAAATGTACGTCTTAAGTCCCTCTTCTGACGAAATAAAATAGATTCCATTAACCATGTTAAGTCAGGGTGTATTTGCGTTTTTTTACCATATATATGTTCTGTCTTTTTCCAAATAAAAAATAATAATATATATATACATATATTTTCTGTCTTTTTCCAAATAAAAAATAATATATATATATACACTAAGGTTATATATATATATATATATATATATATATATTTATATATATATTTATATATAGAGAGAGAGAGGGAGTGTGTGAGTTATTATGCAACCCTTTACATTTATATAACCAATACAACTCAATCTCAAACGTCTATTTAATTTGATGAATATGTGATTTCATAAAAAGTTTAGATTGTATCATAATATAAGGTATTGATTATAATTAATGAACCTTAGTCATCTTCCATAAATATTCAAATTATAATAAATTAACTCTCATCATTTCCATAAATATCTCAATTGATTGAGTTGCATTGGTTGTACAAATATGATGAGTTGCATTTGAAACGTCCTCTTTCTCTCTTTATATATGATCACATTGTATATGGTATGCAAAAACACACGTACTGAGTTCCTTCATACAACGGAATAAAAACAATATATATATATATATATATATATATATATATATATAGAGAGAGAGAGAGAGAGAGAGAGAGGAGCGATCAAATGAAAACCACTCCAATTTGTAAAAACCGTAAAAACTACTCTCATCCATCGTTAATGTTATGAAATTTTTTCATGAAATTGTTAATCTTGTGAAATTGTTTCATATAATACTTTTTTTGGTGAAGTTGTTTCATATGTGGTTATGAAATTGTTTCATATACTACTTAATGAAATTTTAATGAAATTGTTTCATGTATTTCTCTAAGATTAGAATAATGAAGATGATAATATCCATGATTAACACCCTCCACAATAAAAATGGTTAATCAACCTCTCATAATTACAAAAAAATGAACAAAATGAAAAATTATGATTGGTTGAATGAGATTTTTACGGTTTTTACAAATTGAGTGGCTTTTATTTGAACTCACCACTATATATATATATATATATATATATATATATCCTATATATAGGGAAGGGTTCAAACGAAAATCTTTGTGATTTACGAGAACGTGAGAACAACCTAATAACATCATATTGTGATAAAAAAATAAAATTAAAAGATTTTTTAAATTAAAATTGAAATTTAAAAAGATTCAAAAAATATTAAAATTAAAAGGGTAATAATGGAAATAATATAATAAAATATTTTAACACGATTACACGATCATGATTATCATTATCTAATAAAGCGGTTAAGAATTCAAAGAGACTAGAAGCCGTAACATCAAATCGCTAAAAAAATCGTGATTGATCAAGAACACATGCACCCTAATCGATCAAGAACCCCTAATCGATCAAAGAGAAGGTATTGCATGCAACAATCGAACATCAAGAAGAAGTTTATACAAGGTATTTTTCACAATTACTCGTTTTGAACATGTTTTTAATTGATTAGCTCTGATAATCATGTGATATCAATATCACTTGACTTGATCATGGTTTCAATGGGTTATGTTAGACATTATCACAACGATTTCGGATGGTTTTGATATGTTAGGATTAGACTAGGTGTGATAATCATATAATATGGGTGTGATAATCACTGTTATACATCACTTGGCAATGGTTAGGGTTATCGTTTTGGTGCTTTGCTGTTGATAAGTTAAAATTTAGCTGTAATTGTTTCTAGATGATTCCGATCATATCTTCACACAATTTGCTATTATTCTTGACGATTAGTATTACTTATTAGTATTGTTTTAAATTATTGATTTTATGTGATATGGGTGTGATAATCATGTGATATCAATATCACTCGACTTGATCATGGTTTCAATGAGTTAAGTTAGACATTATTGGTTTCGATAGATTAGGATTAGATAATCACAAATTTTTACACTAGGTGTGATAATCATGTGACATCACTGTTGTATATCACTTGGCAATGGTTAGGGTTATCGTTTTGGTGGTTTGATGTTGATAAGTTAAAATTTAGGTGTAATTATTTCTAGATGATTCCGATCATATCTTCACACAATCTGCTATCATTACGATTAGTATTACTTATTTGTATTGTCATCACATGATTTCCATTAAACAACAAATAAAATCACTTATTTGTATTGTTTTAAATTATAGTTAAATCAATATTTTGCACCGATTAATATGTCATGCTTATCACAAAATATGCATATAGTTATCACATGATTATCACAACTATAATTTTTACATTGGGTGTGATAATTATGTGATAATTATCACAATGATTTCGGATGGTTTCGATCGGTTAGGATTAGACAATCACACATTTATCACAACGATTACTCATAGTTTCGATAGATTAGGATTAGACAATCACACATTTATCACCACGATTACGGACGAAATCCACTAAATGATTTGGTGTGATATGGGTGTGCTAATCATGTGATATCACTATTATAACATCATTTACGCACTCAATTTTATCATGGTTTCGATCAGTTAGGGTTAGACAATCACATATTTATCACAACGATTACTCATGGTTTCGATWAGTTATGGTTACACAATCACACAATTATCACAAGAGAAGAGAAGAGAGTGGAACGAACGTGCAGAAAAAAGGGATAATTATAATTAATTAAAATAAAATTATAAAAATTACTTAATTACATTACTGTCCTTATTAATTTATTTATATTTAATATAAACTAATTTATTAATTAAAAAAGTTTGAGGTTATTGGGTTGTTCTCGTATTCTCGTAAATCACAGGGATTCTCATTTGAACCTCCACCTATATATATATATATATATATATATATATATATATATATAGACTTGGGATCATGTGAGACCAACCTGTTTTCGTGAGACCCGTGAGACCAGCATTTTATACTTGAAACTTCACAGCAAAATGCTGTAAAGGTAACTTTTTAAAACCTTCACAGTGTTTTTGCTGTGAAGGTTCGACTTTTTTTAAACCTTCACAGCGTTTTTGCTGTGAAGTTTATGTGTAAAAATGTGGTCTTACGGGTCTCACGAAAACAGGCTGGTCTCACATGAACCCA